TTTCTTGCAGTAGGCTGCTGCAATGGTTGGTTGTGATGCTACGGGTATGGTAGCCAGTTGAGAGGCAGGACCTGAATTCCGGAAGGCGAGACAGTAGGCTAATCCTCAGATTCGCCCGGAAAAGTCTAGAAATATGGTGTATCGCTATGAATTGATTGTACTCTAGACACTACATCCCGGACTCTCTATCTGTTGAGGGAGAAGAGTTCATTTTGTTTGTTGTATGAAAAATCAGATTTTGGTCAGAAACACACCCTGTGATGTAATAGCGGTGTATCCTGCTGGATGGGTGCGATGACGGATGGGTGGCGAGGAAATACATTCAATGCTGGTGCCTCCACCAAACGGTACTATGCAACCGGTTGTTTGACGCGGGTGGTCCCTGAGATCGTCCTGCATAGGACGCATCCTGTCAAGAACGCCACTGTCATTGTTACAGGTCGTTTTGTGCCTCTAGAACGATTCGGCCACGCAGCAGGGCATCGTAAGGCGCGGAAGTACTCCGCGCGTGCGTGTAGATGATGGGCGCATGCATCTCCGATCGGAAGGGCGGGGATGGAAGTGCGTGCGAGCAGTAGCGCCGATGATGGGGGTTATGTAAACTATTGTATTGATCATGAGTGAACTCGTTCAATTATTGGAAGAAACCGTCACTCGAATCCTCACGGGTGGGTGTGATTTCCTGTTTGTCCCCCCCCCCCCCCGCCGTGCTCGTGTCTAGTCCCCGATGACAAGCAGGTGTACTGCATGTGCAGTGGGGTGACCAAGGAAATGGAGGTGACCAGCCGCACCGCTGTAGTGGGCTGTACAAATACGTATGTCTGTGGTGTCTGTCGCGTCGGTCGGTGCACAGCAGGCTTCGTCTTCTTGTGAACTCTGCAACATTTCAACAACATATATACGTGCGTGTATGCTTCGTTTTCCTTCGCTAGAGTAATTGCGTCTCCGGTAGGTCCAATGGACGTCACATATATACCAGACAGTCGGAGATGATATCCACATGAGCGGACTAAATAGTTGGATTCGTATTCTAACATTGTGTCAGGACCGGCCGGCCCGCCGGTTGACAAGCCATTTTTTTTGTGGTCAGCTATCTGAAAGTTTGGGCTGTGAGACAGCCCAAACATCGTATAGACTACAAGGTATCCGGGCGTGGGTGTCTACCCTCCCTCAGATGACGCAAGACCACATTTGCATTGCCCGAAGAGGGACTGTGTGTCTTACAACGCTTGCATTTCCGCACAAAACATCGCGCACGTTGTTAGTCTACATTGGAGCCAGCTCGAGCGGACAATATTTTGGCAGCAAAAACTCATACTTCCATGATGTCTTTGATTGATAATGGCAGATTTGCGATGGGAACCGAATTTGAAGCCGAAACAACGCCACAAATGGGACATGTTCAACACTGCGGCTGGAGGCATGCTCTCAGTCTTGTCTAAAACTTGGCCCGCTGCGAAGTGTAGTAAACGTAGGTACTGCTGTTGGACAAAATGCGATGACACGAAGAGTCACAGCCATGAATCATCGAATTAATGAATGAAGGAATGGATGAGTGAATGTACGGATTACGGTGGAGAAGCAAGAGGCAAATATTTCAAACCGTCGTATTTGATGGGTTTGATAGGTTCAGAATCGGTTCGCCAGGCTTTGTGAGCGCGGAACGCGTCCCCGGGTTTTTGAGCCAGTTTTCGCAACTAACTTTGGCCGTCAACCACACGCGCCACGGAGGCCTACCGAGCTCCGGGCGCGGGCGTTAGTGTACCCGCGAGCCTCCTGCGTGCCCCTGAGAAGGAATTGCGAGAAAAAGCTCGCTGCCGCGAGAGCAAGAAACGCAGAAGCATGAAAAGTGACCAAATCTTGTATGTACATATAGTACGTGAGACCATCACCGACAGTCGCTCTCTCTCACTCGCCGTGTGGGCGCACGCTCATGCCCAAATTGACCCCCGGCGGAGAAGTTAGATGCAAGACATACAACACCTCTCCGCCGATTTCAAGGCTCGACTTCTCCACGACGAAGAGAATGTTTTAATGAAACTGCGAGTGAGTTTGTTTTCGGAAAGCTCTCGACGAGAAGGCTTGAACGCCACCGTCGTGGGGGCTGCCACCCTTCCTGCCGTTGGGAAAAGGAGCCTGGTAAATCGGTCCAGGGGGCGCGATATCTTGTGCCACCTACAGTGGTAGACTACCCAGTATGAGCTTCAGGAATGCATCTTGTCGCAAGAATGACAACAGTGAACGGCCGACCGTCAAGGGATGTGACGATCTCCACACTGCGCCCCTCATCGTCTCTCTCTCTCTCTCCCTCTCTCTCTCGTTTTCTCTTTCTCCCTGCTTTTGCAACAAGAATAGCCTCTCGTGCAGTACCATTAATAACGTGTTGACCAACCTCAGAACGTCGAGTCGACCACTTGCCGTGGTGTTCGTCAATTCAATACTCACTCATGCAGGTACCGCCAGTAGCTGTTGACCCTCTTACATGCACGGGTACGTTCTGTTCTGTTTGGTGCTCTCGCGGGTTGTGCCCGACTGCGAAAAATAACTAGTATCATTTCAATGAACAAACAGCCCAACAGCCGTATGTAGTAAAGTTCTCGCCTTTCGTCGCCAGGATTCCAGAATGCCCTTTGAATCTCCGTTGATGGACGAAAAGGCACCGCAACCTACAGTAGTAAGAGTGTTTTTTTTGCTACATTTGTATTGGAATCTCTGCTGATGGGACAAAAGTCCCCACAACAACCGCACACATGGACGCCAAAATAAAATCGGTGTCGATCGGTGTGTTAATACTCCTACATTTTCCACCGCTGACTGCTTTGTAGCACGAAGGTGTCCTGATCGCTACCATTCGCATGGTTGACATCTACAGACTATTGATGCGGTTGGTGCGTAGTTGTTGAAATCTTACTTAAGTGTGAAGACTATTGATGATTTCGAAGATGATAGAGCCACAGCAGCATGCGCGCTGGGCAAAATGTCTTGAATTAGAATTGACAGCCACACTGGCTCTACTTTCTATAATCGTCCAGTATGCTATGACGATAGAGCCGGTATAAGCATGCAGGCTCTAATATATGTTCTTGATTCTTGGTTCGATTATTTTTCACTATTCCTTGAATACCACTGGCTCTATTTCCTGCAGTTCCGGGGCAGCACACAACATCTTCCGTACACAAACACGCATCTCTTCACTCAGCACACACTCAGCGCACAGGCTCTCCCGCGTCTTCAAGTCTCAACGCACGCTCTACCAA